AGTTATTCCAATTAATTCCAACAAGGTTCAATTCTCTCCATACTCTACAACTATTCTCTACACCCCACATAGCCTATAATCAAACAATATTTTATTTAATTAAACATCCAATAATTAAATCAACACACAAATTAATCAATTAAATCGCTTAATTGAAAATTAGGGTGTTACATTACATACCAGCGCATAACCAAAGCTAAAACAATGAAACTAAAAGAATAGCCCCAAGAGCTAGCTTCCACTCACAGTAACGACTCTACTCTTGAGTATCTGCATGATGCCCATGTAAAGGCAACATTCATACAGAAGGGGTGATAAATCACATTCAATAATAACAGTTATATAGTGCAAGGTCGAATATCAGCACATATCATAATCTACACAACCTCAAATCACAATATATCAATTACATTCTCACACCCCACGCATCAATTAGTCACAACTCAATAAATATACATATAACTCATTATGCAATGCAACTCGACTATGCAACTCTATGCATATGCATGTGGTACCAACTCAACATTTGATTCTCTCAAGAACTGGGGGCCCTCTCTAAACCTATGAGCCCCCTCTCTGAGCTTGGGACAAGCCACTAGTCCTCTCTCTGAACTAGTATACATGTCTCTGGACATAACGTGTATGATGCATGAGCATATTATCAAATTAATGCATCAAGACCCTCTCTAATTCAAACATAATGCATTGACAACTCAAGTTATCTCCTCTCTGGATTACATCTCAACCACAGTCACAAAATGTACAATATAAAATTACTAGTGGAACTCAAGCATGCCATAATTCATCTCAATCGAATTATATCTCAAACATGTAGCAATATAATAAACATAACTCAAAATAACTCATACTCACTCTCAACATACTCCACATATTCAACATTTATATTGTTAACCAATTATAATTAACATTCTCAACATCATAATATCATCACAAGATAACATCAACAATTACGTATAATTATCCTCAATTATTCATGTATCATGACACATAATCATGCTTAACCAATCAATATCGACAACATATAAGCATCTTCATCATAACACAATAATCTCATTTAACAACATCATCAATATCACTATGAAAGTCATAAAATTTGTTAAGAAAAAATCATTTTTCACATGGCATTCAGTAATCATACAAAAGACCACTCAAATACTATCACTAATTAATAGTTCTATGCGTTAGCTCTCTAACGTTCCAAACGACGCTTGATTTGGACTTTCAGAGCCAAAGTTATGGCCAAAATGATTTCGACCGAAAAATACGAAAAACAACTCTTGTGTTAAGTGCGGCTGCAACATGAATAATGCATAATTTTATGCATTTTTGGAGGCCTTACGGACCTTCAATTTCGTTTCTGTAAAAACCTAAATGCTCAAAAAAATTACAACCTATGAAATACCCTAATTATCTCAAGTTAATTCACAATTTTAACACGATTAAATCATCAAATCATTAATTTAAGGTTATGCCTAAAACCGAATTTGCAACAATGGTGGAAAACACATCAAATATTAAAATAGAAAAACCAATCATGAATGGTCCACTAAATTCATCAATAATTATAGAAAATTCTCATATGCATCACATATAATAAGAATTCATTCATAACATACACCCTATTAGAGATTAATGACTCCTCTACCTTATCCCTCATGCATAAGCCCTTATTTAAGGTTATCCCCCCCCCCCCCCCCCCCCCCCCCCCCCCTTACTTTAGATTTCAAACAAACAAGTTCCCTAATCAAGTTTGGTTCTTCCCTCCTTGAACCCTGGACTTGTTTTTCACGCCTTTGCCTCTTTCTCCAAAACTTCTATTTTCACGTTCTAATCCTAAAAACTCTTTGTTGATCTCTTTTTATTAAAATCTAATCTCTTTTTAATTTGCTATCTCTACAATGTCCTCACTTATTCTCCTATTCACCAAAACACCCCTCATTCATCTACTAACTTTAATCTCTTCTATTTTTCTTATTTACTAATTAATTTAATTATTTAAATTATCTAAAATACTATTTAAATTCTATTTGCTTCTAATTACTCTATCAATCCACCAAATTCTCCCTATACTCCCCATGACCCACATACTCAGACAAGAATCACAATTTATTTATTTAATTAACATAGCTCAATAATTAATAAAATATACAAATTCATAAATAATTTAAATTGAGGTGTTATACGCATCATCCACTACCTTCAAACAATAATCGTTTTTTCATGGAGTGTCAACCTTAAAAATGTCATTAGAGAAGGTGACACACATCTCTGGATTTTAACCTAAGAAGTTCCAACAAATCAAGTAGAATAAATACTTCTTCATATGATTGTTTTTAGAGAAAAACTAGTCAACGGTACTTCCCTACATAGAAATCACCAACAAACTCCTAGGAACATTCAATATTGATACAATAGGAAAAAGCATAAACTCATCCAACAATAGGATAAACTACAGCACCTCCAGATAGATAAAGGTTCTCATCAAACATGGAGAACTACAAGACGACTGAATAGTCAAAGAAGAAGAGATAGAAGAATCAGAAGACACAAAAATCAACTAAGTCTTTGAGATATGTCAATGTTTAGCCAAAGATGTGGAAGAGAACAAGAAGTTCATATCAAGGGATGATGATACTTAACAAAATAGATAGTCTAACTTATTTGTCTTATTTTCTCTTAGGGTGTTTTCTTTCTTGTGCTTCTCATTCCATAATTATAATTCTGCAAATTTTCCTACTGTATGTACCTTGAATTTTAGAAATTTTGAATTAATAAAAGTGTGATGTTTTTTCTTTCTTAAATTCTTGTATACCAATGTGTTTTCATATTTAAACTATCGCAATGCATCATTTACCCGCCTTTTTTTATTTTGACAAAGAGAGGAGAGTATACTCTTGGAGAAACTTGAGTACACTCTCAATTTAATTGAGGGGGGGGGGGGGGGGGGGGGGGGGGGTAATCACTACAAACATATATTCGTTTACTTCTTTTACCACCTCTTTGAGAGACGCGTTGCCATCATAAAAAAGGGGGAGAACATGGAACCATATTTTGCTGGTTAAGTAATCAAGAAGCCCCCGATAAACTTGCTCTTAGTGATATATGTGTGTGTGTGTGTGTGTGTGTGTGTGTGCGCGCGTGTGTGTGTGTGTGATGATGACAACAAATGGATATCTGAATCAGGAGATTAATGATGCTAGAAGGCGAGCTAGGGTTTGATGATCACTGCAAATATCCTCTAATGATGACACTTAACAACAATAAAAATCAAGCCTCGTCTTTAATAAGAATTCAAACAAGTGTCTATATTATATTATTATCTGACAAGTCTTGAAAGAGAGGAAGTGTGGAACCTCTCTTTATCGTGTTTAATGAACAATATGTTATAAAAAACATAAGAGCTTTTTGGTAAAGTTATACAACTAAATCACACACACGCACTAAAATATGTTTTCAATACTATTTTGCTTAAAGAATTATTCATAAAAATATTTTGAAGTCATTCCGGTTAAATCAAGAATTTTTCGAATATCTTTAGACAAAATTTATATTGTCCAATTGATTGATACTTATACCTAATTAATTTGATTAGTGCAAAAATGGTTCTCAAAACATCAGTACAATGTCTCAATTAAGAGCAATTAAAATGTATTTTTATTTTTAAATATAAAGATATTTTCACATAAAAGTTATTAGATTTGGAATGGAAAATAAATATATACGTCTTATTTAAGTCTGTTTTACAAAAAGTATGTAAAAAAATGAGTGAACATAGCTGAAGATGTAGAATTAAAACTTTAACTCATCCTTTTTTGGTTGACTCAATCGAGATGTGAGTTGTCTAGAACATCTTTTTACAGAAAAGTAAATTTGAATTTACAAGAATAAATTATATGCGGAGCGCCAACTAGTTGACTGAGTCAAAAAATTAAACTCACAGTTTTGACCTAAAAAAAGTTGGTGTGGGCGATCTATCTATCAATTATGACTATGCTTGTTTTCTTTCTAGAAATTTGGAAAATGATGCATCAACAACAACAATAAAACAAAAAAGATAACTTAACATGGGCAATTTTAATTTCTTAATGCTGTAAAAGTAAATAAAACCAAAAAAGAAAAAACTTCATATTTTAATCAATTAAACTCTTGTAGTTAATAAACTTTAATTAAAAATTAATTATTTAAATGAACCAAAATTCAAATCTTAAATAAAAAAATATCTTTGAGCCAAATTATCTCATGATTGACTCTAAATTATCACGGTCACATTTTCCCCTAAAAATTATGTCATTGGTAAAAAAACATTAATAAAAAATTTGATTAATTAAAATAACTTAGAGTATTTAATAAAATTATTTGTTAGTTAACTTATAAATATAAATTTACATTAAAAAATATAACTAATTTTTTAAAAAATTTTAATTAAAAAAAGAGAGACATTATTTTAAATAAAGAGTTCAAGTTATAAATTATTTAAAACAGTTTATAAAAAAGAAATTATAAATAAATGAAAAAATTATAAACTCAGTAAAATAAAGAGTTATCAAATGAATTATTTAACTCATCTAAACTTATAATTTATAAGCTATTAATCATAAAATAACTTTTTAAAATAAAATAAAAAACCATAATATCAATATTTAACAAAACTCCCTGTTTTAGGGTTGGCAAAAATATTGAATTAATATGACAACATGTAATGAATTAAATGATGGATGGGGTGGGTGGTTGTATCAACTAACCTCTCTCTTCCAACTTTTACCCTTTAAAATCACTTTTCTCATCTTCCAAATTTTTCACAACTCCATGATCTTTTTCTTCTCTTCTCTCTTTTCTTATCATACTCTCCAAACTCCACTTCTTTACCTCAAACTTTTCCCTTATTCATAATCATAATCCACACACACTTTTTCACCACTTTCTTCCCCTTTTTTTTTTTGTTTTTTGCAATAGGCCTATAATAACATTTTGTTCCCATCATGGAAAACCAACAAAATCATTATTCTAGAAACTTTTGTTTTGATAGAAAACTTCCCAACTTTTTAATATCCGTGAAACTTAAATATGTGAAACTTGGTTACCACTATTTAATCTCCAATGCTATGTACCTAATTTTAATACCTCTCCTAGGTGTAACTTCAGCTCATTTATCAACTATTTCACTCAAAGATTTAATCCAACTATACGAAACTTTCAAATTCAACCTTGTTTCAGTGACACTATGTTCAAGTTTAATAGTATTTCTCGCAACCCTTTACTTCATGTCACGTCCAAGAGGCGTATATTTGGTTGATTTTGCATGTTACAAACCACCTCAAGATTTAACATGCACACGAGAAGTTTTTGTCGAAAAATCGAACTTAACTAAAGCGTTTACCGAAGAAAATCTTTTGTTTCAAAAGAAGATACTTGAGAGATCAGGTTTAGGGCAAAAGACATATTTGCCAAAAGCAATAGTGAGCGTCCCTCCAAATCCTTGTATGGCTGAAGCAAGGAAAGAAGCTGAAGAGGTTATGTTTGGTGCTATTGATCAAGTTCTTGAGAAAACTGGTGTGAAGGCTAGGGATATTGGAATCTTGGTTGTGAATTGTAGTTTGTTTAATCCAACACCTTCTTTGTCTGCTATGATTGTGAATCATTATAACTTGAGAGGGAATGTTCTAAGCTACAATCTTGGTGGTATGGGTTGTAGTGCGGGACTTATTTCGATTGATCTTGCCAAACAGCTCCTACAGGTTTGCACTTTTTACACCTGTCCCTGTGTCTCTAATTTAAAAAGTAAATTTTTTCTTATAAATAAAATTTGATGTGTCAATTAAATATTTAAATTTAAATTTATTTTGATTTTGCAAATAAGTAAATGGGATTAAATTGTTAGTACGTGTGCATGTGAATTTGAAGTTAGCTTGTATTGGTGGATATAGTTAATTTATGCCAATTAAATGGCTAAAAGTCAATTTATAACATCTTTTATTTTATTGTATGCTATTAAAAGTTTGATTGGACAAGTAATCCAATTCACACTACAGGTTGTAAAGTTGTTGGGAGTTTTTTGTTGGCTCTGCCAACCTAATTAATACCCTCTCTCAACTTGCATGAACTCAAATATCCCATATTTTTTGACCTTTTCTGATGTTGACATTTTTTTAATAATGAGTATAGAGGAATCCGACTTCAATGACTTTTACGTAAAAATTAAAAGTTATTGAAGTCAGATATCGAGTATAGAGAATCTATTTACTCTTTTTAACTTATAATAGTATTATATAAGTGAGAAAAATAGACCAATTACACTTACAAAATGTATGAATTCGTGCAGTTCAGTTGTCATTGAAATCGACTATTAGATCAAGATCTATAGATTTTGTTATATACATATATTAATTTTTGTTTTAGAATTTTAAATATCAAACGACTACTAATATTTTGAATGTGTGAATGTGTGATTATTGACTACACGGAAACCTGATCCATGCATGACAAGTGATTGATTGTTATATATAAATGATTTATTTTATGTGCATTAAAATTCAATTACTAACTATTTAATAAACAACTATATAGGTACAACCAAACTCATATGCCTTAGTAGTGAGCATGGAGAATATAACACTAAACTGGTATTTCGGCAACAACAGGTCAATGTTAGTCTCAAACTGTCTCTTTAGAATGGGAGGAGCAGCAATCCTCCTCTCCAACAAACCCTCGGACCGCCATCGAGCCAAATACCAGCTATTCCACACCGTCCGAACGCACAAAGGCGCAGACGACAAATCCTACGGCTGCGTCTTTCAAGAAGAAGACGAAACGAAGAGAGTCGGCGTGGCACTCTCAAAAGACCTAATGGCCGTCGCCGGAGAAGCACTCAAAACAAACATCACAACATTGGGACCATTAGTCCTTCCTATGTCAGAACAGCTCTTATTTTTCGCGACGTTGGTCGCGCGTAAAATCTTCAAGATGAAAATAAAACCGTACATTCCTGACTTTAAAGTAGCTTTTGAGCATTTTTGTATTCATGCTGGAGGAAGGGCAGTTTTGGATGAACTTGAGAAAAATCTTGACCTAACTGATTGGCATATGGAACCATCAAGGATGACACTATATAGATTTGGCAACACTTCTAGTAGTTCTTTGTGGTATGAATTGGCTTATACAGAAGCTAAAGGGAGGATCAAAAAAGGTGATAGAACTTGGCAAATTGCATTTGGCTCTGGATTTAAGTGTAATAGTGCTGTTTGGAAAGCTTTGAAGACTATTGATCCTGCTAAGGAAAAGAGTCCTTGGATTGACGAGATTCATGAGTTTCCTGTTCATGTGCCTAAAGTGTCAAAAGTAATTGAGTCTTAAGTATATCAATATTTTCATGTTTTATTTTTATTTAATCTATGTTAAGGAATATCTTTGTTTAAATGGAAGTAACTTGTTTATGCTACTTTTGTTATTTCTTAGGAGATGTTGCAAGAATAGAAAAGAATAACTTTGAAAACTTTGTATTTTGTTTTTGCTTTTGCTTTGAATTTGGATACAATGTGTGTAGGTCATGTTTTGTTTGTATCAAATTACTTGATAAATGTATGTCAATTAATTTTCAAAGTTACTTGTCAAGCTTAAATAGATGTATTCCTTCTAACTATTCATTATAGATAAAAATATTTATTGATTTAATTCAAACTAAAATTAATTTTTATATAATTTCACTGTATTTTATGGTGTTATGTCATAAATATCATTCAGCCAATTATAAATTTAAACTTCAATTCACAATAAATATTATCAAGTTTTATTTTTTTATTTAAACACCTATTCTTATAAGATTAAGAAGATTAACAATGCGTACAAACAACTTTTTTTTATTACATATGTCTAAACAACTTTGTCTCAAATTATAAATTTATTTAAAAAACTCTGTTCCTAAATCCAAGATGCATATTATTAAATTTATTTATTATTATTAGTTTTCAAATATATCTATAATAATTATCAAAAAGAAAGATAAAAATGGCCATACATGCCTATAATATAAATGGTCATATGATGTTTGATAGATAAAGGACAAATCAGATAAAAAGAAAGCAACATTTACTATAATACCTTATATATATATATATATATATATATATATATATATATATATATATATATATATATATATATATATATATATATATATATATATATATATATATATATATATATATATATATATATATATATATATATATATATATATATATATATATATATATATATATATATATATATATATATATATATATAATCTTACCGGTTTATCAGAACCTGCAAGGTGGTCGGATGATGATCTTTGGACGGGCTGAAAAGTCGAGGAGAAAAAAGGAGAATTGTATATGCAAGGCACTATGACGATCAAGTGTGGGAGCAAAAGAGATACAAATAAAGTGTTAGGATTTTAGTGATGAATAATGGATATTCGATACCTGGTCCTCACATGTGTGAGGGTTTATATAATATCTTCGGCGCTTGGCCATTGCTCCCTATTTTTGGGCCTAGATATGCGGGTCTGCGAAAATAGGTAACTGTCAGGACTCGATCAAAACGGACAGGTATGTCTGTAACTAGCCGTTGGATCCGAGGAGAGGCGGGTTACGGGCAGATGGCCGTTCCAGACGAGTGGTTGTCTGCTCGACTCGTGTCGGACCGACGGGAGACAACTGTTGATTGGGTCACGCGTGCGTGTCGGGAATAGTTACTCGTGTGCTCAGGGGCATGGTCGACTAGAATGTTGGGCCACTATTGTTGGGCCGTACCAAGGGTAGAAGCGGATTGTACCAATTCTAGCCGTTGGGTCAGTCCAGAACAGTAGCTCCCTAAGTCGTTGCTTCTAGGCATAGGAGTGATGACTTAGAGTCAGCCCGTGCGTCGAGGAGGAAAATGCGTTGTTGGCACTTGTTGTTCGCAACAGGGACGTTTTATGATCTTTATGAGGACATGCTCGTACATGTTATATTGTTATTTATTAGGTTTATGCATGTGTTTATGCTTGTCTGCGTGTGACATTTTATTTTGATCAAGAGTTTCGGGGGTTTGCTCGTTATTATTCGAGTCTGCCAGTGTGGGTGACTGGTCAAACGACCAGGGTGATCACCTGGCATAGGCCGAAACTCAAGTCTCGTTTTAAGGGCCCAAGCTTGGCGGCATGAACTTCCCATCGCAAGCTGGGTGTTCTGTCAACGTGGTACGACGACGATGGAGCTCGTTTGAGTTTTCCACGTCGGGCTAAGAATATGCTCGTTAAAAGAGTGGAGACTTGCCTCTTTATTTAATTTAGAGTGTCATGCTTGTACCTGGGCATGCATATATGGTCGGGAAAACTGTGTTCGTGGTTTCGACGAGACAAACTGACTGTATCAGTGTCTTAACTGTAATATTGCCTTAGTTTTTGGTGTTCAAAGGTTGAGCAAGTTATTCCCCGTGTAGGTTTCCGAGATAGTTTTCCCCATTTTCCTTTTTACTCGGACACGATAACATCTCTTGGATGAAGGACTTGATCAGCCTCTCTTCTTTGTGCTCGCGAGCTTGGATAGGATGTCTGCTCAGAAGTTGTGTTTGTGGGGAACGTATGTCTGCTAGGCTGGAGTGTTTGCAGGGAATGTATGCTTGCTCGACAATTGTGTTCGCGGGGAACATGTGTCTGCTGAGCTGTTGTGTTTGCGGGGAACATGTGCCTACTCGGCATCTATGTTCGCGGGGGAACATGTGCCTGCTCGGCAGTTGTGTTCATGGGGAACATGTGCTTGCTCGACAGTTATGTTCGCAGGGAACATGTACCTGCTCGACAGTTGTGTTCGCGGGGAACATGTGCCTACTGAGCAGTTGTGTTCGTGGGGAACATGGTTTATTTATGCGCTCCTCTCATCGGGGAGGCTGGTGAGGTCATTTTTGTTGCAATACTGAGCATAATTTGCGGTCACTTTCTCCTAATATTGGATGTACGCCTGGGATTTTAGGAGGAGGACATCTAGTATGGCCGGTGTTTCTATGCCAACTGTTGTACCCCAAAATTTGCCCTCCCATATTCCTCAAGATATGTCAAGAATCATCTCCAAATGGTTCAAGATTACTCAAGGGTTGTACAGTCAAATCACTTCCTAAGACAGCTGAAATTAGGGTTTTGGTTCTTTCAAGGAATTTGGGGTTTTCAATGGTTCAATCAAGTCTCATAGACCTATATACATTCTCAAGCATCTACATGCCAAGTTTCAAGACTCACAGTGCCAATTTGCACAGTCAAAAGCTCCATTTGATCTACAGTCAACTGCAAGGGCAAAATGGACATTTTGCAGTCAAAAGTCAGAATTTTGGGTCAACATCTTATTTTGAGTCCACAATCATCATTTGATCAAGTCTTGATCATGATTCCACAAGAATAGCTCAAAAATCATCAAGAGGCAAAAGTTACTATTTTTGGACAGCAGAAAAGTCAATTGTACCTTGACCAGGGCATAACTTTTTCATGGTTTATGAGAAAAATCCCATCCAAAGCTCATTGTGAAGATAATGCAATTTCCTACAATCCATCTTCACACTCCAAGATCAAGAAATGCTCTCACAAAAAGTTACCAATTTTTAGATTATAGGTCAATTTCAAAAGTCAACAAAAGTACACTTTGAGTCAAAGGCCATAACTTGATATTGGTAAATCCAAATGACATGGGACCAAAGGAATTGGTTAAAGGAATTCAAGAGCTTTCCAAAATGTCCAAGAACATGGTCATATGATCAAAATTGAGCAAGTTGTGCATTGGAGAAGTTGGGAAATTTTCATGAATTTGCAAAAGTCAACTTTGCCCAAAACACCTTCTTTTTGCTAATGGACCTCAAATCTCTTGTTGAAACTTCACCCATGACCTATGCACGACCCACCAAGATGAATTAGATTTATTTTCTTATTGATTAAATGGATTTTTAATACATATTAATTCATTTAATTAATTTAAATCATAGGAAAATAAAATATTTGATTTTTAAATCAATTTGTGAAGCAAATATGATCAGAACATGCTGGCAAATTCGTGCACAAGTCAAAGATACAAAAAAAAAATCCAAATTTGGCAACATTGTTCAATCATGAAAAATCAAGAATATTTGATTTCCAATCAAAGATTTAAACATCAATGCACATGGATATTGGCCCAGCTTTTAACCTAATTTGATTCTCCTATATGTATGCAAGCAAACCTTGACCTAGTACACGTGAAAAGGCTGCAGAAACGACCCTGTCAAATTCAAGAAATTTCAAGAAAAGTCAAAACCTGTTCTTGCATTCTAGGACAATTCAAGGAGTTTTGACCATCCAAATACATTGTAGGAGGTCCCAGGAGTGAATTGCAATCAAAATCGAGCATCAAAGCTCAAGGAATCGCTACCTACAGTCCCACGGTTTGCCCTTATATTTCATAATTGTATCTCTTATTTCATGCGCATTTAACATGTTTTTGTGACTGATTTGCATTGCTAGAGACCATACAAAGCTAATGGAATGAATTAATTGGACTATAGTGCCCTGAATCGTAAGATGCCATGACTGAATTTTTAGGGTTCTTGAGCTTTTAAATGGGGCTTTTCAATCCAGGAAAAATTGGGATTAATAAGATGCATGGTTGACATCATGAGACCAAGACGAACACAATCCATACCTCGCGAAATATTTATATTCACTGTGTGGCTAATCGCTATTTTTCCTTGCAGGAGGTAGTGGAGGTTAAAAACCCCCGCTATCTGATTCTAAATATGCAGAAAAAAGGTTGAGGACGATGATGTGTAACCGTCTGGTTGGCTTATTTGAAAAGCGCGCGTTTTTTTTAATAATTTCAGCCTATTGATTTGTTTGCATATATAATAAATACATATTATTCCAATATCAATTGAAGCATGATGGTGTAGTGGCAGGGACGCAGGCCTGGAAGCATTGGGACCTGGGTTCGAATCCCAGGTCCCCCAAAACATTGTTGTTTTTATTTTTCAGGTGTTCAGGTGTAGCTTTCAAAGGGGAGTCCACCATATGCTTCCATTCCCAAGCGCCAGATGTCTCCAGACATGAATCCAATGGTCATGGGTGAAAGATCATCATGCTCCCTAGTCAACGAGCATGCAGGGAGTCCAGAAAAGTCAAACAGGCTGGAAGCATAGTGGGCTTCAGAATTCCAGAATCACCTCCTGATTTGGGCCAGCACCCCCCTTCAAGTTTATTTCTTTTCTTTTCCTTTTTTATTTCTTTCATTTAATTATTTTTATAACTATTATTTTCATTAACAAATTAATATTTATTTTCATAATAAAATTCAGAAAACATAAAAATATAATATTTTTATTTATTAAATTTAATTAGTTATTTTTTGTAAATAAATAAGTAATTAATTAATTTAGTCTTAATTAGGTTAATTTTAACTTCTTTTTTTTGCAATAATTTAAAATCAATGTAGAATTAGGGTTTTTAATAACTTTTGACCATCTTTTATTTTTTTCCTTAAAAAACATAAAAAAAACTCAAAAAATATCTTTCTTTTATTTAATTAATTAATTAGTCTAGGTTTAATTTAATTAAATGCAAAATAATAAAAAAATCTCTTTCTTTCTCAAAAAAGGGTCAAAACCCTAAAAACTCTCCGATCCAATTTTTCTCGCGCATGTGACTATTCTTGATTCATATTTTTATCATATAATTGTATTTGCTCCGAGAATGTAATAGCTTTAATTAGGACTTTTTATCGCTTTTATTTATTTCCCGCAATTTACTTTTTTCAAGGGTTTGTTTTTGGCGATGTAAATACCCGACGCCTTGTAATAGTTTAGTTTTATTTTCCGCAACTATTAACTGCTAGATGTATGCTAACTGGGCTATGCATGACAAGATCTCTCTTAAAATAAAATCAATCGTAGCTTACCATAACATGTACAAAGATAACATAATTGAAACCTGACACACTCGCACATGCCACTCCTAGGGTACGCCTCACTTGGTTGCCTCGACGTGTTCATTGAGTATAGGGTGTTTTAGAGGTCGCCCTCCTGTCTAAAGATCAAAGTTTCCTCGAAACGGTTGCCTCGATAAAGAATGATCTAAGACATTAATTAGGGTTACCGCTAAGGCGTCCTACTATTGCTTTGGTGACCACATGTCCCTATAATCGAATTGACCCGAAACTCCAACGACGGTGCTACCTACTCCTCAAAAGTGGGATAGTACTGTCTAAAGGACATTTACACAGCTTAATTTCTTTTGAGTAGGTAGAGGTTCTCAGGTACTTACTCTTTCAAAACAAAACAAATTTTCGCACTTACACTTTTTTCAAACAAAAAGTTTTCAAACCAACACTTCATACACTCTTGAGGACAGATACAAGAGTTAAATCGAAGTTTTCGAAACAAAACTTTTCAAAACCAACAAACACAAGAAAAGCAAAAACTTTTGAAAACATAGTGAGCAAGTACCTAAGAGCCCGTGGATAACCACGGGTAGAAAGGGTTGTTGTACCCCAAAATTTGCCCTCCCATATTCTTCAAGAAATTGCCAAGTCATACTTCAAAATTCCCCAAGGGTTGCACAGTTCAAGGGTCTCCTAAGCAGGCAAGATTAGGGTTTTGATTCTGATCAAGAAAATGAAGTTTCCAAAGGTCCAATCAAGTCTCACATGCCTACAAATATGGTCAAGCATCCTCATATCAAGTTTCAAGACATTCAGCACAAAATTGCACAGTCAAAACCCTAAATTGCACTACAGTCAACTGTAGGGGCAAAATGGTCATTTGACAGTCAAAAGTTCAAATTTTTGGTCAACATCTCATTTTGAAGCCACAAACATCATTTTAAGAATGCTTGATCATGATTCTCAAAGCTTGGCTCAAAAATCATCAAGATGCAAAAGTTTCCTTATTTGGACAGCTGAAAAAGTCAACTGTAAATTGACCAGGGCATAACTTTCACATGGATTATCAGAAAAATTCCATCCAAAGCTAATTTTGAAGAGAAAGACATTTCCTACAACTCATATTCATACTTCAAGTCCAAGAAATGCTCTCACAAAAAGTTATCAATTTCAACATTATAGGTCATTTTCAAAAGTCAACAAAAAGGGACTTTAAGTCAAAGGCCATAACTTGAGATTGGTAAATCAAAATGACATGGGACAAAAGACATTGGTTAGAGGACTCAAAGGCCTTTCCAAAATGTCCAAGAACATGAGCAAAGCTTAAAAATTGAGCAAGTTATGCCTTGTGGAAGTTGGGAAATATTTGGATATTTTGAAAAGTCAACATTGATTCAAATGACCTAAAATTGCTAATGGGCCCATTTTTCTTCCACAATTCATTATCCCAAGCATGTGCACGACCACTTGGCCCAAAGGGAAGTTTTTATTCATTTTTTATTTATTTATTTGAATTTTTATTAATAATAATTCATTTAAATCAATTAAATATATGAAAAATACTTAACCTAACTTATCAAATCTTTTTGTACATGTAATAGGCTCAATAATTCGTGCATGATCAGATATGGAAGGAATTGGATTGATTGGATATGATTGAGAGCAAAAGCACATGAAAAAAGATTGAAAAAGATCTTTGAAAATCAAATTTCAAAAACCATGAATGCCAAGGATTTGGATGGTTTTCTTTGACCTAATTCATTCCTACATAAGCATAGAACACAACCCTAATGAAAAAAACCATTAAGCTGCGCTAGAAACTCCATTCATAAACTTGAAATTTTGTTTAAAAACTCAAAACTGAAAACAGGTTTGCAGGTCGTTGCAAGCCACGAGACTCATCCCATTGCATTCCTGGGACATCAAACAACGTGCTTGGATCAAAAACATCAATCCTAACGCCTTGAAACGGTATACAGAAGTCCAGTTTTTTTCACTTTTTCTCATAATCGTGTTTTACATTCTACG